CGGGTCAGCTCGGCTCTGCGGGGTGAAGCTGCCCCGCGCCCTTCCCCTGGGGCGGGTCTGAGATCCCGCCGGGCCCGAGTCGGGCACGACCCGCGCTGCGGAGGAGCTTCCTTACTCTGGTCACGGGCGAGCAGTTGGGAGGTTTTCCGGGAGTTCTGCAGCGGGCGCTATGCCAGCTGGGCACGGGAATTGGCCACGCAGGATCTTCGTGTAAGTGGTGGTGTCAGAAATCACCGGGCTGAGCTGAGGGAGAACGCAGCAGCCGTGGGTCTGATTTTCCCAGTCCCCCGAGAACACGGGGCAACTTCCGCCTTCACCGAAACGCCCCTGAGCCAGAGTGCCGAGCATCCTTCAGAACGAAGCAACATTCGTCCTCGCCTTCTGCTGCACAACCGGCATAAAGGCACCTAAACTGAAGCCTTGAGAGTAGTTTGTACTCCCAGATGCATTTAGGATTTTCCCCTGATTCTCCAAACACTGTCTCAAAAGTTCAGAAGAAAGAATAGGCGAAGACTGTCACTTGCCTGCCTTGAGTATTTTAACCCGGTTGCCTCTGCCTGGATTATCTTAATTCCATCCCATGTGTATTTTTCCTAACCTCATAATCTTTGGAATTTACCCTATCGTTTATCTGAACGGTTCAGGGTGTTTTCCTGCCTGCTTGGATCATCATTCCAGGTACAGGCCTTCATCGATATGTTTGCCCACCTTTAACCCCCCCGATCATCGCTCCTCTCTATTATCTGGCTAGGTAGGTACCTTCATGGTGTTCCTCGGAATGATTCCTTTACCCCAGGCTCGCTGGCATTCTGACTGCTGAAGATTGAATCCATGATATTTTCCTCTGTTAGAAAGACTGGTTTGCAGAATTTTCAGTGCTAGTACTGAAGGCTTATTTCCATGGACTTTATTTTCCCAGTGGTACACACATAATTTTCACCTCATCTTCACTCTGTCCCATGCCATTTTTTCCATACTTTGTCTTTCTGTACTATCCTACTTTTTCTGAAGTAGAAAGGCAGGATATAAAGAGGATAAACAGCTGATCCAAGAGCAGACAAAGGCAGTAATACGTTCCTTCTTACTGCCAGCAACAACAACAACAGGAACGTCAAAGCTAGAGGATTCAGTACAGTTATGCTGCCAAAACTAATAGAATTTTCCTCGTGGCCTTCCCCTGGCCTCGCTCGTTCTCTGCTGCTATAAATTTTATCACCGTTACCTGTTACTCACCTGGTGGATCCAGGTTTTTTAGGTAATTATCAGCAGCAGTTCAAGAAATCACAGAGTTCTGGTATGCCCTCACACGTGAATTCACCGTGCTGTTCTTTGACACGGGCCCAGCTGTTGGCAGGCTCTGCAGCCTCACCCCGTTCACGTGCCCTCTGCAGGTCAGTGCCTCCGGACCACCGCCTGTTGCTGGTCGGAAGGCAGGCAGGCAAGTCTCCTTCGCCTCGTCTTCCCTCTTCTGCCATTCCCCTCCTGGTCCCCCGCTGCACAGCTAAACTGGAGGCAAAGTTCAAAATACTCGTCAGTCCTTCTGTCAGACACACAGAGCAACCGAGATGTTCCCGTTTAATGGCACCCAGAAGGCCAAGTGACAGGAATATGTTGGCCTTTCTTGACTTACAGAAGGACTGGCCTATATCTTCCTCATAAAATGCTGACCCCCCCATGGACCGTAGGGCTGCAGTGCCCAGCAAACAGCAGGTTATTAAGTGCTAAAATTGGAATGGAACTCCACCAGGCCTCTGCTGTCAAACCACACTCTGTGTATACTGAAATAAATATCACACCTATGTATATTAAATAAAGATCAGATCCCAAAGCCTTCTCCTATAAAACAGTCTGTGCTACTTTGTTTCAGTTCAGCGTTGAGTGCTGTCCTGCCAGGAACTGTCCTATTGATGTTGTGAGCTCTTGCAGCATGGACAGTAGTGTGCCAGCAGCAAGGTCCTTCACGTGGCTTTTCAGAGCCATCTGAGAGGTGTAACTGCACAGCTCTGACTGAGAGATCCGGCTGCCGGCTTTGCACGGGCTCCTTTTAGAGGATCATCCTTTACATCTTTATTTAATTTGACGGATGATGGCTCAGAGCAGAACTGATCTACAGTAGGGTCAAGATCCATTTTCTGAAACTGTCATTTTCATTAATACCTCCTTTTTGCCTTTCAGCCATGGCCATGCCCAGTTCCCTGTTGTGGGCCGTTGACATTTTTGGGAGGGTTTACACTCTGTCTACTGTTGGCCAGTACTGGGAGCTCTGTAAGGACACGCAGCTGGAATTCAAACGGGTCTCTGCTGCCAAGCAGTGCTGCTGGGCAATAGCCTGTGACCATCAAGTATACACCTTCGTGTTCTCGGGAGACGTTCCTATCAGGTACCAGGAAGAAACCTATGAGAATCAGGTACGGCCTGCTACGGGTACCTCTGGCACGCTGCCGCCTATCTGCCAGAAAGGAATGGTAGCCAGTCTCTGCATTCGCTGTCTCTGCATGTTTTTCTCACAGGAATATTCTTTGGTTTTACTTGTTTGCAAGTTTTTTACTCCCTGTTTCTGAAGAGTATGTATGTGTCAAATAGCATGTTATTCTTTTAATATTTTAATTCCCAAAGGAAGGTTTTACTTCCCTGCTCTTAACAAAAGCAATGCCATTGTGCACTATGGTCTGTTTCCTGCAAGCCATTTCAGACCGGACCATCACCCTTTTCACCAGATGTTCTCCTTTCCTTTAGTGACAAACACACAAGCCCCTTAAGAAAATGTCCAGTGTCACTTTTAGGCAACAAAGACCCGTTATCAAAAATGTGCTATTCTTAAGAAAACGTTATTTTTTTAATGTTTCAAAGAATTCTCTAGTAAAGGCATAACTCTCCATCAAAGTACAATGTTTCCAGGTTTCTTTGCATAAAAGTGATGAGATGACCCTTCCTACCTGACATACTTCAAAATAATGTCTTGAAAATAGTACTTTGAAGGATATTTATCTATTTGGTTTTAAATTAATCAAAAATTATTTCAGGCAAAAACTGGAGGATTTTCTGCAGCACATTTCTCTGATTTGTAACGAGCAATGGGATGAATATAAGTTGAGAAAAAGACATTCATTTGTCTACATGGGTAAAATACAACAAATTTTATACATTATCTAACATTGATAGAACCTTCCAGCCATTTAAGAATGTTCCTTTTGTTATACAAACACGTGATTTTAAAAATGCAAAACTTCAACATTTATTTTATTATTTTAAAACTTTTGTTTTGTTTGTTCTAGGTTATGAAAAAATGGAAACCAAAATGCTAGAAAGCACAAAAGGAAATATTCTGCAAGAGCTAACAACAACAAAATTAAAATCAAAATAGTTTACAGATAATGTGCAAAGTAGCCAGATTTCTAGTAAAAGTAAATGATATTTTGCATTGAAAATATTGAAAGGTTTTGAACCACGTGTTTTCCACGTGCCCTAAAATCTAAGACAGTATTACATGACAAATTTTGCCCATATTTCTATAGGAAGTAAGAGTGTGGGGAAAAAAGAAAACTCACAGCTGGACTGGCGAAAACCCTAGCAAGTTATTTGTCCTGTAACTGACTAAAGCCAGATTGGGAAAAAACCCCCTCCTGGTATAACATAAGGTACAAGGAAGATTCACTGATACGGTTATCCTGACGTAGTTTCTGGCACAGCAGCTATGCTGTTTCTCTAGTGCAGGCAAGACACTGGTCATCTTTCTCCTGGGGAATAGATCTGAGATCCCAAGGCCATCTCTACAGCATTACCCTAATGCTGCAGTATCATGGTGCCCAAAGAAAAAAGCGCTGTTGGTAGTAAAATATGTCATCAGATGTTCCTATTTATGTAGCTGAAAATGACTTGGTTTGGACTAGCTCTGCAGTCAGCCCTTCGCTGACAATTAAAAAAGCTTCCTCCGAAGACTGTGTTAGCTATGGGCTTGGAGTATGGACACGTTCTTATTCACCCCAGGAATTTATTCCTCTTCTACTGCAGAAAAAAAGTATAATTTGTGACTCCCTAGGACTCTGTAGACGTACAGCAAAATGATGGTATCTCAAAATACTTTATTTATTATTTCTGGCAGCGCTGGAATCCAGTTGGTGGCTTTTGTGAGAAATTACTGCCCAGTGACCGCTGGCAGTGGAGTGATGTGAGCGGGCTAAAACATCAGCAGCTTGATAGTTTCACACTGCCTTCACCACACTGGGAGTGGGAGTCTGACTGGTATGTGGATGAAAATATTGCAGGGGAACCAACAGAGAAAGGGGTAGGTGAACAATACCAGAAAGAGATCTATTCTGGCAATCCTTAGTCTGTAAAATAAAAGGCGCTTTTGTAAGAGTGTAAAAGGTCTATAAAAATAAGAGGCATTTAACTTCCCATAGCTGCTTCTTTCTGAGAAACAGCTCAGCTGTAACACCACACGGGGAAGGATCCCGTCTGAAGGTTTTTGATGTCTGTAGAAGCTTTTTTCTTTTTATCAGGCCACGAAATGCTGGCAACTGGACACCATTGTCAGTTAAGATCTTTATTGTGAAGAAAGTAAAATGCTTAACTGTGTCTTGTTTGTGCTGTGTATATCATGCAGAGGAGTTTGGACGTGATTCATAAGTCATTCATGGAATTAGCTGATCTGTTAATCGGGGTTGTTGGGGCACGCACAGTAACGTGTATTGTATTTGTAGGTGTGACTCATGCAGAATTGCTCTGAGCTATGATTTCCAGCTTCCCCTTGGTCCTGATCTTCATACAAGAAAACCTCTGTTTGCAGGGCTGGACTTACGCCATCGACTTCCCTAGCACCTACACGAAGGATAAGAAATGGAATTCTTGTGTCAGACGCAGGAGGTGGATCAGATACAGGAGATACAAATCACGGGACGTTTGGGCGAAGGTTCTGGATATCTTTTAAATAAACTGATTTTTTGAAATAATCAAATATACATGCAGGGAAATTAATCACTGCTCTGTAGGCTGGACCTGGATTCCTTGACTTCCAACTTGTAATTCTTGCAAGCATATGGAAGGCTGGGATTTTTCATAAAAACTTACGGTAATAAGGTGCCAAATCTCAGGTAATGCAGCTGGACACAGGTGCTCAGCTCCTTTGCAAATTGCAAAACAACTTTTTAATTTCCCTTGGTTGCCTGACAACACACTCCCTTTGCAGGTAGCGTCATTCACCAGCTATGTCCTGTAGCTGGATGTTTGCTAAGTGTTGTGCCATCCTACGAATGTGCATCTGTAATTTGTGATGGTCCAGTTTTCCAGTCCAAAAACTGTCTGTATGTATGTTCTGTGAGTTAAAATTCCCTTTAGTTAGGGGATGAAACACAGACCTTTTCGTGCTGCCTCGGCAGCGTTTCCCCTCTCGCTGCATACAGCTGCCTTGAACGGGAGGAGGAGTCGCCATGCTCAGCCACTTTAGTCGGCGATACATAACCCAGTCTGCGAGAAACAAGTGAGGCCACCAGCGAGTCGCCTCTGTTTGCAGTGGCTCTTCAATGGTCCTTCTCTTTGCTTCAGGTCGCATTACGTGACGATCCAGATCAGCTGCCAGACCCGTTCAATGACATCTCCATCGGAGGGTGGGAAATCACCGATGAGCCTCTTGGCCGTTTATCAGTATGGGCGGTGTCTTTACAAGGCAGGGTATGTGCCTGTTTTCTCATACAAATCACTACTGCAAAGGAGTTACGTGCTTTTCAACAAGGCAGGTTTGTTACACGTTATATGTTGGTAAGGAAATTGGCTGTTTGTGCATGGGGCAGAGGATGTGAAAGCTACTTTGGGCCTACAGGTTGTAACAACTTGTGTTGTGAATGGGAAGGCTTAGTATCTCATAGGGTCGCTGCTTTATGGGAGCTTTAAACCTCTATGAACAGCTGGATCTTAAAAACTTGGGTTGAGTAGTGTCTTCTCTCCTGGAAAATGCCCAGAATGCAGAGAAGGGGCCTTAAAACCTGATAAAGACTCCTGCAAAGCACTGTGCTGTGTCTCTGTGGTGCAGAGTCAGGAATGATTCAAGAAAGAGTTTCTAAAATTGTTTTCTAAGACTTACGGATCAGCAAAGTGTAACCTCCTGACTTGGCAGCCTGGAATCAGCTCTGGAATGTTTTCAATTTATTTTCTATTGAAAACTATACTTTTTAATTTTTTTTAGGCCTACCGTAAGTTCTGGGCTCTTTTGCTCAGTGCTGTAAATATTTGATTCTTGGCTTCCTTCCCTCATCCTTACAGCAGGTATCTGGGTAGCTTCCCTTTGTCTGTAGACATGGTCTAACTGGCGGTCTCCCAGGGGAGGATGTAATACCTTTAACGGATAGCCCGAGATTCCAGTCACGCTTGACGCTGCCTGCAGAGACAAGCAAACTTGGTTAAATTGTTTAAAATAAAATTCCCTATGCCTCATATTTCCCAGTAATAAGTGACAAGCATCCCACTCTACAGGCTTACTTGACTGACACTGTACAGTGCTTTAATTCCCCCAGTAGAAGTTCCCAGAGAAGGAAAGTATGTCTAAAAATGCAGATTTAGCACTCAGTGTTCAGACGACTACTGCAGGATGCTTTCTAGGTTTGACTTTCCTCTTTTCAGTGTGATCTGTGGAAAAGTGCAAGGACAGTAGGACCATGACTAGCAAAGGTACTGGGTGTCACTGAAGACTGCACAGAGAATAGGATTTTTTACCCATATTGTGGCAAGCTCTGTTCAGTGAAAGTGAGGTTGGGCTGTCATCTAACAGTAACATTCTTGTGTTCTGTGTTTGTTCATCCTTGGTTTATATAACATGCCCTGAAATATGCCAAAGTGGTTTTTACGTGTTGAAATATACACAGAACTTGTAGCAATAGGTTACTGTACCCAATCCAGATTTGCTTCCATGATAAAAGCTAGTCTGTAGAAAACCCTCCTCCCTTAGTACATAAGGAAATGGTCTTCAATTGCATTATCACCATCAAAAAAATACCTTTAAAGGTCAGGCTGCATACGCTGCATAAAAAATCCTCTTGTTAAAGAAGGACTGTTCTTTCCAGTTTGTATTCATGCTTGTCTCAATGGTTTCATTGTTGTAGCAATATTTTCTAAGTTTTTGTTTATTTTTATTCAAACTTGTCTAGGTATGGTACAGAGAAAACGTCTGCCATCACAATCCAGAAGGTTCCATGTGGTCCTTAATCACCACTCCTGGTGAAGTTGTACAGATCAGCTGCGGACCGTATGACCTCCTCTGGGCAACTCTTTGGGAAGGGCAAGCAATTGTGAGAGAAGGAATTGATAGGAATAACCCTCAAGGTAAAGTTTGCTAAATTTAGCTGGAAACCCCTTTGACTGGTGTAGTGTGGAGTAAGAAACTAGCCTCCAATGCCCTCTGGGGTTTGTTTCTTGCAGGCATTTCCTGGAATATTGTGGAGTCTCCAAGCTCTGAAAATGGGATTATGCACGTCTCTGTGGGTGTTGATGTGGTGTGGTGTGTTACAAAGGATAGAAAAGTAAGAGGTGTCATGCTCTGGTTCTGTGTTTTTCTCCCCTTTTTGTATCTGCTTTTTTCAAACGGGCATGTAACTTCCACAGGAAACACTGGGGATTTGGACTTGCATTCCCCATGGTTTGGGGAATTCCAGTTCCCCTTGTTGTTGCGGGAATACTCTGTGGTTTGTGACAAACGTCCGACACGTGGTAGGTGGGTGGGGATGTTGGTGGGGATGTAATATGTAGTGGTTTCTAAGGGATATTAAGCATCGAAACTGAAGGGACAGCTAGCTGCTCCGTCTTGTTTCCACATGGTCTGAAGGTTACATCAAAAGCAGCTTAGGGAATATTGTCATCATTTTCTATATGATCGTATTTTTTTATGTTCCTACTAACTTCCCTCTTCATCAGTGTAGTGGTTTTGTATTAAGTGATCTATCTGTTAATCTGCATGTGCAATTACTTTCTTACTGGGTTTTTAACTTAGAATCGTAGAATGTCTCGAGTTGGAAGGGACCAGTCTTGAAGTCTTGAGCAATGTACTAGAGTGCTGTTGTGCTGGTAGCGATCAAATCCCTTCATACTGAATTCTGTCCCTTCACGTAGATGAATTCTGTGCATGTATAGCAGTTCTAAGGAATCGAGTTCCTCTGGTTTAATGAGTTACTGCTTGTCAGCTGAGCCACAGTAACAGGCAGTGTCCAGCCTGATCCATCTGCCAGATGAAACCACCACAGTCCGTGTAGACAAGCTAGCATGTTTTTCTTCAGATAAGCCACAAGATAGTCAAACACACTGGCTGTTACATGATTCAGCCAACAACCTCTAAAGTAGCTGCTTGACACACTATGACTATGCTAAATGCAGATGGAAATTTTTCCAGGTGCCCAGCCCACAGACCATTTCTGACTGGCAAAAACAAATCTAAGGGGGGGACAATTTAAAGAGCTGTACCACTGAAGAGATCCCTCTGACAGTTCCCTCTGTCAGCCCTGCTTCTTTGAACACAAGGACACTATTTGGAAGGCCATTCCGAGTCACCAAAATAGCTTGCAGTTGATGTGCAACAGACAGTATTTTCCCCCTGGCACAGAAACTAACTCTGCCACGGAAAGCATAACAAAGAGTGTCCCTGTTCTGGCTGTACTTGGCTACAAGGACACGCACTCTGGGTACTGTTAAGGGAATTATTTTATCTTCACCTGATAAAGTAAAAGAACCAGGAGGTAAGTGACTTCTTAAGGCAATGCTGCAATTCAGTGTTAGAGCTTAAGACTAATCCACTGGAGAAACTGAATTCCAGCTGCCTGCTTGCTAACGCAGAAGGAGCAGTATTTAAACTCCTTGCTGTTGCTGTTGTAGGTGTGGTTTAGAAGAGGAGTGAACTCTCACAATCCTTGTGGAACAAGCTGGATTGAAATGGTTGGAGAAATGATGATGGTGACCGTAGGCTTAAATAACCAGGTGAGATGGCTGCGTACCACTGGTGAGGATATTTATGTTCCCCTTTGTACGGGCAGTAGCTGCAGGTGGTGACAGCTGAACAAGAGGTGCCTGTGCTTGAACTGCTGTGAAGGAATGCGTGCTGGATTCTTCAGCAGAAGATAACACTCAGCATGTCTCTGTGGCACATTCAGGTGCAAACAGTTTTCTCTTGATGGTGCAGAGTTTTATGCTGCATCTACAGCATCACCGTTAAGAACACCACAGGAAAATACCCTGTCTAGCAGGTTTTTTGTGGTGAATTTTCCACCACTGCACCTTTTGTATCTGCTGTCTACCTGCATGCCATGCCATTTCCTTCACCAAGCCCTTTCCTTCCCTAGGTCTGGGGAATCGGCTGCGATGACAGAGCAATTTATTTTCGCCAAGGTGTCACACCAAGTGAGCTCAGTGGGAAGACGTGGAAGGCCATTGTATGTGGCCGAGAGAGTGACAGATCTCAGACCGGCAGCTCAACAAGTCTGCTCAGGTACTTGATAAAATACCTGCTTGAGACCTCGTACACTAACAGATTCAGTGCTAGGAGATACTTCTTTACATTCAGATGGTATGGACAGGGAGGAGCCGGGAAGGCATCTCCAACCGTTCCCTGTGCCAAAAAGCACTTGTGTTTTTTCCTTTAAAATTAACAATAAGCAGCAATTGTTGCACTCAGAGTAGAAACTGAAGCTCCCACTTTGGAATTCGCTGCATGCTTGCAGTAAGGCATGTTTCTCTGGGCTTTGCTGTCACTATCTGGAACTAGTCTCTAATAATACAAAATGTTACCTGTGCAA